GATACTGAGCAGGAAGTGGTCATGGGGCTGGTGTGGGAAGCGAGCGGAGGGGGAGCTGTGAGGGTAGCAGGGTACCTGCATCCGTGGGAGTGCGCGTGGCGGCGTGTGCGTCTGTGCGCCCTCACCGTCCCCTCCCCACAGTGCTGCTGTGGTCAGTGCCATCACCCTGTACATGCGCCACCTCGGGGTGCGGACCAAGAGTGGGGACAAGAAGTCGGGGAGGAATTTCTTCCGGAAAAAGGTGCTTCCCTGAGCGCCCAAACCCGGCCCTTACCTCCCCAGAGACCCCCAGGGAGCCTCGAGACTCTGCACCGCTGGGGTCTGATCCCTCTTTGTTGGCATCGGCACAGAAATGCCCAGCCCCCTCCTCCCCCCACCTTCCATAGGTGATGGGGAACCGGCGGTCAGAAGAGCCGACCAAGACCAAGAAAGGACTGAGCAGCTTCCTGGATGCCGCCCGCTGGAACCGGGGAGAGCCCCAGGGTGAGGTGCCCAGCCTCGGCCCCGCCCCGACTTCCCCATGCTGCCCCCACCTCATGGTCCCATCTCTCGTTTCAGCCCCAGATTTTCGACACCTCAAAGTTGAGGCTGATGGTAATAGTCCTGAAGCTAGAGCATCCATCCTGGGGACCTGAGAGAGGAGGGCAGGGGACCTACTAGGTCTGAGGGAGGAGGGGCGAGGGGCTGGGACTTCTGGCTCTGAGGGTGGGGAGGGGTCTCCTGGGTGATGGGGAGGATGGGGCAGAGCCAGCATCTTGGATCCCCAGGCCTTTGTGAATTAGAGTCGCTGGACTCTCATATTCCCCTTTGTCCTTCACTGCCTCCCCAGGTGAGAAGCCAGGCCTTACAGAACGTAAGGGAGGTCTGGGGGTGCCCTCCCGGGACCGGAATGTGGGAGCCCCTGGGCAGGACACCCCCGGAGTTTCTCTGCACCCTCTGTCTGGGGACAGCCCTGACCGGGAACCAGGTGAGAGTTTCCTGGGCCCCACAGCAAAACAGCCCCTTGGTTCTCTGCCCTCCCTGCTCCTGGTCACCAGGGTTATTGATAACCAACCCTTCCCTCGGTTTACCCTTTCCACGGCTTTCTTCGCAAGCTCGCACCTCTGTTCTGGTGACGGGTTTCCCCACCTCCCTGGACTACGTTTCCCATCAGCCCCCACGGCTTCACTTCCCAGAACCCTCTCTGAGTACATTACCAATCAGCCCCCCTTAGATGGTGAGCCCGGCTGCTCCATGAACTTAAGGTCTCACACTCCTTGGGTGGCTCTCAGCCCGCTGGATCTCAGACTGCTACTTGGCCATGTCTGGGTTCAGATCCTGGCTCTGCACTTGACTTGTGTTAGATCTTGGAAGTCACTCCCCACTCTTCGAACCTCAGTCCCCTCACCTCTAAACGGGTCCATTCTCTTCCCACAAGTCCCAGTTGAGTGTTGGGAGAATGCATGGATGTGGAGGCATCCAGTCTCCTCCCCGAGTGCGAGGCTGGCACCCTAGTTTTGCAGCATCTTCTCCCACTGAGCCCCACCTCCCCGTGGCCCTGTTCTCAGAGGTCTTTCCATCTGTCCGTCTCCCACTGAAGTGTAGAGCAGCCACTTGGTGTCGGCCAGGCACTGGATGGCTTCAGAGGAACGGAGGCCCCCAGGGTGTGGGTCTCACCGTGGCAGGGACCTTCCAGCCAGCCTTGCTTTCCCCACCCCCATTATCCCCACAGGTGTTGACGCCCTCCCTGAGCTGGGGGACCCGCCCCCGCAGGGCCCAGCCAGCCTGGAGCCTGCAGCGCCCCTGGAGAGCACAGAGGAGGGTGCTGACACGGAGAGGTGCCCAGGGCCGGGTGCAGGGGAGGTGCCGGGCGCAGGACCGGGCTTATCCAGTGCAGGGAGGGTGTGTGTTGGGCGTCGCACTGCCACTTGCACCTGCCTGTCCCTGAGCCAAGCCGTCTCCACTCTGCCCCGCCCCTCCCTCTCTCTGTCTTCCCCCTTTCTCTTCGGCTCTGTCTTTCCTCATCTCCCCTTTTCTTCCTTCTTCCTCTCCTTCCTTTTTCACTGATTTTCTCTCTCCCCCTCCCTCCCTCTCTTTCTCTCCTTTCCTCCCACTTCCTCTTCCTCTGCTTTCCCTCCCCTCAGCTCCTCCTGGCCCCTCTCCCTCTGCCCCCACCCTCCACCCTGCACTTTTCCATCTCTTTTTCCCCCTTCCCTTTTAAGCCCCCAGCCCAGCTGCCTTGCTCCTGCCTCCCAGTGCCCCTTCCCTCCATCCCCCAGCCCTCTGTGCTCTGTGCCTGGGGGCCCTGTCCCCCTCACAGTTGGGGGGCAGGCTCTGCCCCCTGCCTGTCCTTGTGCCGCTGCTTTGGGGACCCTTTGGCGGGTGGGGGAGGTGAGTTGGGTTCCATTCTGGGTCCACCTCTGACCCTGTGCCCCTCTCTCCCCAGAAGGTGGAAGAGGTGGGTGCCTGGGCCCTGGGTGGGGGGGGGGCTAGCCCCTCCCCCATTTCTCCCAGCCCCTCCCCTCTCCCCATGGGCCACCCCGTCCCCTTCACCCCTGTGAGGGGTGGGTGGGCACGCCTCCCTCAAGCCGAAGAGCTAAGTATTGAAATCCCCCTTCCCTCCCTCAACTCCTGCCTCTGTCCCCATCCCCCTGCCTCAGGGAAGGGAGGGGTCAGTTTTGTGCCCCATACTGGGTTCCCCTCCCCTCCTCCACCAATTTCAGTATCCCTTCTGGCCACCCCCCTCACTGCCCCAGCACCCCAAAGTCACACTGGTCCTTCTGACTCTCTCCTCTCTTCTGTTGCATGTTTGATCTCTGTCCTGGTCTCTCCCTGTCTCTGTCTCTGTCCCTGTCCCGGTCTCTCCCCGTCTCTGTCCCCGTCTTGGTCTCTCCCCGTCTCTGTCCTGGTCTCTCCCCATCTGTCCCTGTCTATCTCTGTCCTGGTCTCTCCCCGTCTCTGTCCCTGTCTTGGTCTCTCCTTATCTCTGTCCTGGCCTCTGCCTGACTCTGTCCTTGGCCTCGGGGTCCAGGCTGTCGGGGCGTCTGGGGCGCTCGGAGAGCCTGCGGGTGAGTGACCGCCGCCGGCCTTCCCGGGGCAGCCTCGGGGCTAAGGGCCGGGGTGGGGGCCGCTCCCGGAGCGACGTGGACATGGACCCCAGCTCCGCCACGGCCGTGCTTGGCCCTGCCCGACGAGCCACGTACGTCACTCCTCCCCCCCATCCACTGAGGCAGCCTGGAGAGTCAGGGAGGCCGGGGTGGGGAGTCTTTGCCAGAATCACCAAGAGCTGGGTATCAGATGCTGAGGTCACTGAGGGCCTCCAATGGTCACAGGAGAGGGGTAAGAGGCTTCTTTCCAGATCTGGGGGCTGGTCTGCAGCCCTAGGGGATGGGGTTGGACACTATAAAGAGTTGAAGGCTCTTCTCTGGGATGCCCTGCGCTGGGGCCCTAATGAGGCCTCTGTCCCACAGCCCCGAGCCTGGAGATGAGGGGGAGCCGGGCCGATCGGGACTAGAGCTGGAACCAGAAGAGCCCCCCGGCTGGCGGGAGCTCGTCCCCCCGGGCACCCTGCACAGCCTTCCCAAGAGCCAGGTGAAGCGGCAGGAGGTCATCAGCGGTGAGTCACCCCCTCCAACCCACGGCGGCCGAGGACACAACCCAGCTCCAGAAAAGTCAGACAGAGGCAGGGAGATGTACTTACACCGGGCAGAGCTTGAAGGCAGCCCGCTTCTGACAGAGCACTGTTTGTTAAGTAAATTGTGGAATATTCCATGGAACGGGAATGCGGCCATTGTCGAAGTGACCTTTCCAAAGAATTTTTTGTAGTGCAGGACAGTGTTGATGTTAGGAGCTAGACATGGTCTATAAAATTGTATTTCTAGCGTAAGCCTTTGTTTCCTCATTTGGGAAACGTGGGCAGTGATAGTTCCTACCTCAAGAGACTGTCACGAAGATGAAGGCGAGATGATTAGTGTGAAATGTTCAGCAGTGGTGGGCCCAGGGTGAGAGCATTCGGAGGCAGCTGCTGTTATGACTGGTCTTCAGCGCTCAGGGGAGAAAAAGATTCCCACCCAGAAAAGTTTGGGAAGATAATCAATACGTTAGCAGTGCTTACTTCTGAGCAGACAGATGACGGGGGTATCGTTTTTGTCTCGATTCTGTGCTGTGATTTCAACTCATTTGTGTGTTGAGGGGAGTTTGGCAAACGTACAGTCCTTTTGGAAGCTCATTTGGAAGTTAATTTACAGATTACTTAATAGTAAGAAGAGTTCTCATTCAGAATTTTTAGGGCAGTAGATAAATACTTTTTGGGTCACAGATCCTTCTGAGGATCTGATCAAAACATCAGCAGTGCTGTCCGATAGAACTTTCTGGAATGACGGTCACATGCAATATCTGTGCTTTCCAACATGGTAACCACCAGCCATGTAATGGCTGTTGAGTGCCTAAAGTGTGGTGAGTACAACTAAGAACTGAAATTTGCGTTGCATTGCATTTTAATTAAGCAATATTTGAAGAGCTGTGTGTGGCTCGTGGCTACCACATCGGACAGCATAGCGGTTTCTCTCACCAGAAAAGTATACATACGTAAGACACAAAATGGTACATTTAGGGCTTCCCTGGTGGCGCAGTGGTTGAGAGTCTGCCTGCCGATGCAGGGGACACGGGTTCGTGCCCCGGTCTGCGAAGTGGGCCTGTGAGCCATGGCCGCTGGGCCTGCGCGTCCAGAGCCTGTGCTCCGCAACGGGAGAGGCCACAACAGTGAGAGGCCCGCATACCGAAAAAAAAAAAAAAAAAAAAAAATGGTACATTTAGTCTCTGGGGACTTTGGGGGCCCCTGGAACTCGGGCCATCAACCTGTGCAGAAAGGGGGTCATTGTGCCAGAAACTGAGCCTGAGAAAACTTGCTGGACGGTTAGACATAAAACACAGCTGCAGGCAGTGAGGAGACCGACTTGTCTCGGTTTGCCTGGGACTGTCCCAGTTTTAGCACTGAAAATCCCATGTCCCAGGAAAACCATGGTGCGGGACAAACTGGGACCATTGGTCACCTTGGCTGGCTGCCCCAGCCAAAACAGAAAGGCAGTGGGGCTGAGGAGTTCTCAGTGGCTATTTCAGGGGCAAGTCCCCCCAGAGAGAATCATCCCTGTCCCGTCCCCTCCTCATTCCCCAGCCTGCCTCTGAGAGTGCCCCCCCCCATAGTTTGCACGCTCCCCAACCATGCCTCCTGCCCGGTGGCCCTGCAGAGCTGCTGGTGACAGAGGCGGCCCACGTGCGCATGCTGCGGGTGCTGTATGACCTCTTCTATCAGCCCATGGCGGACGGGGGCTTATTCTCCCTGGAGGAGCTACAGAACATCTTCCCCAGCCTGGACGAGCTCATCGAGGTGCATTGTGAGTGCAGGGCTGTGGCCCTATGTCCCATTGCCAGCTCTCTCCTTCGTTGCCTCGACGCCAAACCCTGGAGCCTGGTCTCATGGGCAGCCTCTGTTCCAGCTCTGGGGACGACCCCACCCCAGAGCCCCAGAGCTCACATTCTAGGGACACATCATCAACAAGCATGTGGGGGGGAGTGAGGGAGGGACAGGCCCACCAGCCCCATGGATCAGACACACCCACACGCAGCCCGACACCCCCCACACCAGCTCCCGACCAGCTCTGTATCCAGTCTCACGGGCCCTGACAGCACCCCCTTTCCCCTCTGCTCCCCGCAGCCCTGTTCCTTGATCGCCTGATGAAGCGGAGGCAGGACAGTGGCTACCTCATTGAGGAGATCGGAGATGTGCTGCTGGCCCAGGTGAGGGTGCCTCCCCTTCCCCTCTCCCCGCCCCCTCCTCCTGGCTGGGGACCTGAAATGCAGGCCCCAGGAGACCAGGTCTCAAGCTTTCGACCCCTTCAAGACCCAGGGGTCTGGGCCCCTAACCTGTCCTCCTGTCTAGGCTGCCATCCCCATGTGGGGCCCCGCTCCCCGCAGTCCCACCTGAGACACCCTCCCTGGCCTGAATCTTGCTGTAGTTTGATGGTACCGAGGGCTCCTGGTTCCAGAAAATCTCCTCCCGCTTCTGCAGCCGCCAGTCGTTTGCCTTAGAGCAGCTCAAAGCCAAACAGCGCAAGGAGCCTCGGTTCTGTGCCTTTGTGCAGGTGAGGCAGGGGTCTGGGCCCCAGGGTCCCAGGGGAGGGGGCCCGGCGTCCCGGTCCCCAAGGCCAGCCGCCGCAGAGCCGCCTCAGCACTGCCGTCCCCGCAGGAGGCCGAGAGCCGCCCCCGGTGCCGCCGCCTGCAGCTGAAGGACATGATCCCCACGGAGATGCAGCGTCTGACCAAGTACCCGCTGCTTCTGCAGAGCATCGGGCAGAACACAGGTAGCCGCAGGCCCTGCCCCGTGCCGCTGGGCCTCCGCTCTCTTGTCTCTAACCTTGGCCTAGGGGCTGGGAGCTTCCAGGGCTGGGGTTCACCGGGGCTGCTCTCCCCCTTGCCTGCAGAAGAGCCTGCGGATCGGGAGAAAGTGGAGCTGGCGGCTGAGTGCTGCAGGGAAATTCTGCACCACGTCAACCAAGCCGTGCGCGACATGGAGGACCTGCTGGTGAGCCTGGGCGGGGCCCCGGGCCCGGGCAGTGGTGTGCGCGTGGGCAGGACCCCCGGCTTGTCCCCGTCGGGGTCACTCACTGTGGGTCGGCCCCAACTCTTGGCTTGTCACAGTGACACTCCCTTCCCTTCTCTGCCCCAGCGGCTCAAGGATTATCAGAGGCGCCTGGATTTGTCCCACCTTCGGCAGAGCAGCGACCCCATGCTGAGCGAGTTCAAGGTGGCCCCGCCCCCGCCCTGGGGATTCTCTGATAACACACCCAGGAAGCAAGAGGGACCCCTCAACCCTGACCCCCTTCTCATTCCCAGCGGGGCAGCCCCTCCTGACCCCATGGTCTTCCCCACCTTCCCCTGCCCCGCCCTCACCTTCACTGACCATCACTCCTTCCTGCCTTCAGAACCTGGACATCACCAAGAAGAGGCTGGTCCATGAGGGCCCGCTGACGTGGCGGGTGACTAAGGACAAGGCTGTGGGTGAGCGCCGGGGCTGCGAGCGGGGGGCCGCGGGACAGGGCTGTCCAGTGAGCGTGCTGAGCACGGGCCTCGCCCCCCTGCAGAGGTCCACGTCCTGCTGCTGGACGACCTGCTGCTGCTGCTGCAACGCCAGGATGAGCGGCTGTTGCTCAAATCGCACAGCCGGACGCTGACGCCCACACCCGACGGCAAGACCATGCTGCGGCCGGTGCTGCGGCTCACCTCCGCCATGACCCGAGAGGTGGCCACTGGTGAGGCCCCAGGCACAGCTGTCCCCGAGGCAGGGGAGGGGCCCTCCAAGGAGCCCAGCACGCACGTTCTGGCCAAGGGGAGGCCTGGCAGCCCAAGGCCGAGGCTGTGAGGGGGGGGGGCCCTGGGCTGGGCACGGCCGGGTCCCCAGGCCGGTTGTGGCTTTTATTGAGTGAGATGGGGAACTGCCCCAGGTTTTTGCACAGGTGAGCAGCCAGTTCTAATTGGTATTTTGAAAAGACACCCTGGCTGCCTCTTGGGGGGTTGTAGGCAGCAGGGGTGGGAGCTGGGAGCCCAGTGAGGGGCCGTGGTGGTGGGAGTGGTTCCAGGGGTCTCATAGGTAGAGCCAGACTGGGGGCTTGTTTCCTGATTAGGTGAGGGAGGGCTCCGGAGGGAGGCACCGGGGGCG